CCGCTCTCGAGCAGATAACACCACTGTAAATATAGGTAAGAATAAAGTGCTAGATCGTACGAGTGTGTTTCACTACATAACCTCCGAATGCCCCCGAATAGAACATGTAGTATATCTGAAATATACTGATATCAAAAATTCATGCAAGCGTTCACTCGTTATGACCTTTTTTTTTAAAGTGTCAGTTACTCCGAATCACCCTGTTCTTCTGATGGAAAACTGCGATATTGTGAGGTTTTAGAATAGTAAATACCACTTACCCCACATTATTTGAAACCGTAGGTTAAGTGGAAATACGAGGGAAATGATGCTTTGAAGAAGCATTTGTGCTTAATATAACTTGATACGTGGTAGAACGGACTTCAGGGTAAGTCAAGTTTGTATGGTGGATCACAACCTCCTTATCTACACTGCTCTTTCAATCTGTATTGAAGTTCCCAACAACTGTGTCAAATTGAATCACGTGCACCTAACTAATAACAAAAGATTTAATTATAGTAAAGAAGAGGAGCCAAATTTATACAACTTTTTAATAAGGAAAATCCCCAAAGGCTTGGTAGCCATCATATGAAGTAATGAAATTGTGTTGTTAGCGGAATGCTTAAATAAAACAGCAAAATAAGGCTATCTTCCATTTAATTCAACTTAATAAATTTTGGTATCCATGACAGATACGTATTTCGACTACAATGTGCAGTCTGCATCAGTGTCATTACCACTAAAAACTTATCAAATTATAACTCCCTTAAGTTATAGAGCGGTTGTGCTGAAATCAGTTCAGCCATCGCCGAAAAAAGTGAGTGAGTATTACCATAGAGGTAACTCTAAGACCACTGGGTCCCGAAGAAAATCATTATTATTTTTGGCTCACTCAGTACCAGAACAACGGTCCCAAGCAGTCCCAAGCTATTTCACTCACCCCTGCATGTTCTGCATGAATCCACACACCCCTGATGTTATCTGTCAAACTTTCATAGCGAATCAAAACAAACATAGTGTAGTAATAGAATTTCAACTAGAATAGGGTACGTTAATCGTTTGCTTGGGACCAATAGGCTACTAAAGTGGTGAGCCAATTTAAAATCGTTAGTTTCGTATTGATTGTTGGTATTACTGTTTGGTCTGGATCGGACTTACGAGTGGAGTGTAAAGACTCTTTCTGTCCAGATTGCAATGTGCACTTGAGGCCTTCTTTAGTTCTTGGTCACTGGAATAAAAGTTCACTTGCACCGGGTTCTTAAATTCTTCCGCAATTGTATGAAGGGCACAAACTAACACCGAACTTGTTCGTTGTGTGGGTAGATTGATACTAATTTATAACTGATATCTTTATCTATATCCGATCGGTATTTTAATAAGGTTCTACTGGAGATAGAAACACGTAAGCTGGAACTTGTTGCACCCACAACGGTTGAGCGATCGCCTATACTTCTTCCGATCTCATCAAACTGAGTCAAACTAACTCTATGTTTCCGGGCTTGAACGATCGTCGGTCGCAGTTATTAGTTATGATCTACGGGCTTCGGTGCCCTTAGAGCGACCGTTTTTGCTTACGGAGCTGAAGATCGTGGGTTCTATCCCAGGCCCATTTACATTACTGAGTTGATAGGGTCGCATGATTTGCACTATCAGTAATCAATTATTGCAAATCTTATTCGTGATTTTAACAACGATCGCATCACTCATCAAGGTGAATTCTGATCCATCGAAACCTACGGTCAAATGTGTGTGATCTTTGTGGGGATGGGCAGAGACGTTGATAGAGACGCGCAAAGAAAATTTATGTCAAAACAGCAGGGACCTTTTGACAGTGTCACTGGCAACCTTGTTTCTTCGAGTGGCTTTAAATGACTTTCATACAGTGCCACAATGCTGTTGAAAAAATTTGAACGTTTGACCGGAACTGAATAATAATGAAGAGCGCGGCAACATTTTGCAAAAATAAAGCGAAGACGAGAGATGACAGTCGCTCAATGACAGCATAACCATAGAAGTAACTCTAAGACCAGCAGATCCCGAAAAAACGTGCTCAACTTTTTGGCTCAGCTCTGGTACTATCTTCGGTCCCAAGCTAATCGATGCACCCCTCGAAACATTGGAAAATCCACGAACCCCTCATTTTATCTGTCAAACTTTCATAGCGAATCAAAACAAACATAGTGTAGTACTAGAATTTCGACTAGAATGGGGTACACTTAAAGGGACCAATAGGCTAGTCAAGTAGTGAGCCAATTTAAAATAGTTAGTTTCCACCGGTATAACTTTTATCATATTTTACTGTTTTGCTTTGCAATCATTTTTATTACCATAAAATTAAATAAAACGTTCCGGTTTGAAATTATTTTTTTATCACTAATAAATGTTGTATTTAATTGAATCAACTTTTTTCATCATTAAGAACAATACTCCTTTCTGGTGAATCGAGCGAACAGTAATGTTTATTTACTTTGCTCGTTTGGTTCAGTGTTTACCGGTTCATTTAGTTCTTTTTGCTTCAGTCTATGCGTGTTTCTATTCAACGTCTCTGGGGACGGGGACAACAAAGGTCACTCAATCCTTCCTCGCTGCTCCTGAATATAGCCTCGCTGAAAATGTCTTTAAATTGAAAAATGGCCTCAACACGCTTGGCTTTTATAAACGTCCCTTAAAATAGTCTTGAATACGTCAAAATAACATTCACACTGTTAAAACTCTACAAATGGCATCACAATCGCTAAACTAGCCCATAATAAAAAAAAAACTTTAAAGCCCATAATTATAAAAACAGCTTTAGATTAGCTTTAAATGACTCACAAAATCATTGAACTGACAACTTTTATAATAACCTTGAAAACGACGCCTCTTACCCCAAAAGGCCTGGGTTCAATCCCCACCGCCGGGATTTTCTGAGGCATAACATCTCTGATCACGTCTTCCTTCGGAAGGGAAGTAAAGCCGTTGGTCCCCTGTTCATGAGTTTATGGGTCGATAGGTAGGGTCCAGGTGTGGGAGCTGTCCCCCTGGCGTTGGTAGCATTGGTACTCAGTACGGAAAACAAGATCCACGGAAAACAAGGAAAAAATCGCTATTTTTTCAAAAATTCTGATCATTTAGGAAGCAGGCGTCTTCTGCAAAATAGTTCAGACCAAGGCCTTTCAGGGTGAAAGACTAGCGCAGAATTCGCTAACTTTGTGAAGCTAGTGACGCTTGGTAATGGTGAATATTTAATTTTGAAATTTTCTCACTACGTGGCGCTAGTGTATATGTAAACTTCCTGTACCTATCTATAAGCTATATTTTGAAAATATATTCAGAGCATATAGGAAGTCGTTGTTTTCGGCAAACTTTTTCTCGCTATATCTCGAAAGCCTGACCATCTAGGAAGTTTCCGTAGACGGTTGAGCGATAAGTGCGCCGGGGTGGATACGGAATTCTGGTTTTCGGTGGGATGTAGGAGCAGCGCTGTTTTCTGAAGATTGTCATCCGGGTTCTCGTGGGTATGCTCTGTTTTCCGAGCCGGAAACCAAAGCACTGAGAACTGTGTTTGACAATAATCCGGATGCGGAGCTGTACACCAATTTGCATAGCTTCGGGGGGTACTTGATCTATCCGTGGAGTTTTGAGAGTGCTCCCGTACGGAATGTGGACGCTCTGCGGCAGGTAGGGGTAAGTGCAGCGAGGGCCATGTGGCATTATGGACGACAGAAGTATAAGGTAGGATCAAGCGCGGAGGTTTTGCGCTATCAGGCCAGTGGAACTAGTATCGATTATGCCTACCATCTAGGAAGTTGCCGTCTTTAGTAAAGTTGGTCTGATGACTAAGGCTTTCCTGATAATAGACATGCAATCGCTGTGTAGCGAGAAAATTGTGAACTAATCTATCTTCCATCCAGAAGCTTTCAGGCACCTGAACAAGTTTTCCGAAGACAACAACTTCTTACATCTTTTTATTTTGTATTCAAGAGATATTCAGCCTTGGACAACTTCTTAGCTGATCAGAACATCCACGTGATGTCCACAGAATTTTGAACTAACCTTAATTTAGAAGACTTGATCAGACTAGCACACAATTTCGAAGACTTGATCAGCTGAACAACTTTCCCGAAGACGGATTCTGTATAAGAAAGTCAAGATATGAAGATATATTTCATAGAGAAAACTGATTTGCACATTAACGCCATATATTGAGAACATTCCGAACTAGTGTTCTCTAACCATTCGGCTTTGACCCACAGTAGCCTTCTATATGGCCAGGATGATATGGTATTTTATGTGGCCTAGGGTTCTTTTAATTTCGTGATAAAACATCATCAAATAAAAATGAAATTTCCAGAAAATTCATGTAGTTTTTTTTTAGTTTTATATAGTTTGATTAAATTTCACATTAAGGTTAGGATAGCCTCTTAGCCCATCCTTCCCTATACAACATTGACAATATTTTCAGACGGCGAAAAAAATCAAACTGTTTAGCCACTTTTGGTTCGGAACGGATTTTAGCATATGAAAGAACTATGTTTTGACGATCAATGAGGAAAATTTCAACATATCTGGTTCATGGTGCTCCAGGAAAATAAATTTTTAAATAGGATATTTATTTGGTCAGGATATCAAGATACAGCTTGTTATTATTTAGTGCTTCTCAGCATTAATAGTAAGTAATATAACAAAGAACTGCCCAACAATTGATTGCAATTTTGATTGTTTCAATAACCCAGAGGGTCGCCGTATTCCCCGTCCTCCCCTACTAATTTTACCCAAGTAACATTTCATGTTTTATGATCGTCTGAAGGCAGGCAAACAAATTCAAATAAGCGTTTCGACATATGTTAATCAAGGGATAATTATATAATGTCCTACTCCATTCACATGTTATGTACCATGCATCTGGCTTGAATGTGCATCCAGGGCTATAAAAATCAATTATGTTTGTTTACCAGCTTTAAATCGTATAAAAGTTACAACAGTTCCATGGAACCAACGCAGTCATTCCTCAATCCTCTTAACAACTATACAGTGCCGTAATGAATCGGAAAAGCCTCTTTCCGACAGTCATAACTTTCCTCCTAGCCGTAAGCTGCGGTTGGTCAAACATTTACGAAGGGTAAGTTCGAATTTCCTCCCAGCAGATTCAAACAATTCTCATCGCATCCCAATCCCAACCTCTTGCAGTTACAAACTGTACGAAGTGAAAATCAAATCTGGCCACGACGTCCAGCTTCTGCTATATCTTCAGCACCACCGTCCGAGCATTGATGTTTGGGCCCTGAACAAGATCGGTCCCAAACGGGTGCTAGTCCCACCGAACCTCCAGAAGACGGTCGAATCCTTCTGCACCGACTATCACATCAACTACACCGTGCAGGTGGAAGATTTCGGAAAGTATGGTCTCGTGGTTAGTTGCGGGTGAATGCGATAATGCTGATCGATCGGTGTTCGTTTCAGGAACAGTACGACCTGGAAGACACCTTCGCTGCAACTGGAAGAGCCAACGTTTCTGAATAGCTTTCCCACGTACGACGAGATCAACAACTACCTGGTTCAAGTCGCAACGGAAAACTTCGAGTGGATTCGGTTCCGTATCATTGGTTGGTCCGTTGAAGGTCGACCAATCCGGGCGATCACGATCAATCCAGATAAGGAGAAAACGATCATCGTGGACGCTGGAATTCATGCGCGAGAGTGGATCACCGTGTCCACTGCGCTGTATCTGATCAAGAAGCTGATCGAAGATGGCGATCAGTATCGGGTGTTGCATGAGTACAAATGGGTGATCGTTCCGCTGGTCAATCCGGATGGTTACGTTTACTCGATGGAAACGGATCGCTACTGGCGGAAGAATCGTAGACGGTTGAGCGACAAGTGCGCCGGGGTGGATTTGAACAGGAATTTTGGTTTTCGGTGGGATGTAGGAGCAGCGCTGTTTTCTGAAGATTGTCATCCGGGTTTTCGTGGTTATGCTCCGTTTTCCGAGCCGGAAACCAGAGCACTGAGGACCGTGTTTGACAATAATCCGGATGCGGAGCTGTACATCAATTTGCATAGCTTCGGGGGGTACTTGATCTATCCGTGGAGTTTTGAGAGTGCTCCCGTACGGAATGTGGACGCTCTGCGGCAGGTAGGGGTAAGTGCAGCGAGGGCCATGTGGAATTATGGACGGCAGGAGTATAAGGTAGGATCAAGCGCGGAGGTTTTGCGCTATCAGGCCAGTGGAACTAGCATCGATTATGCCTACTCTGTTGGAATAGAGCTACCATTTGCGATGGAGATTGCTGAGTATGGTTACAGTGATTTTCAACCACCGCCGAATGCCATCTCGCAGATTGTAAAGGAATCATTCGTGGGCATTAAGGAACTTGTTTATGCAGCGCGAAAGCTTAATCAAGCCTACAAGGGTCGTTAAAAACAAGGGTGGTATTATCTTCGAAGAGCATTTTGCAGTGTTTTGTTCGATGAGATCAGCCGGGATTATAATAATGTGTTAATTTTTACGGCAATCGAACATGTTATAAAGACGAGAGAATGACGCTTCCAAATGTGACTATTTTTTTTTGCTAATTGGAAAAGTATTGAATCCGTTCGATGGCCTCACATTTAAAGTATCATGTCTGAAGCTCAGCTAATAAAGCCAGTATAGGTGGATAACCACATTGTTTTATTATTTAAAATTTCACGCTGTTTAAGTTGAGCGTACTCAAACACACGGTCCATCCGAAATTGGTCGCACATGCTTATCTCCCGCGTCGAGAGCTCAGCTTGTTGAGTGCGAATGTTCAGCGATCTTAATTCCCAGTGTCCACAGATTTTACTGCTCGATCAGTGCTTGTTTGAGGCTGCCATAAAGCCACATATGCGTGGGTTGACAGACCGGACGGCATAAACAGTGCCCAATTGTCGAAAGGTACCTCAACACAGAAGAAGTCCGTCCGATTTGGACTTAAGTATGTGTTTTTATTTACAGGAGGCTCTCAAGTTCCTCTCGAAAGCCAAGGGAAACCCAGAAAGGTGGTTAACAAAGAACCGAAAAGAAGTGAGTCGTTCCACACACTGAGGGGTCCAACTTTTTTTTTTTGACAATTCCCAACCGAGCGGTGTGGCGCTTAATTGGCATTCGAATTAATTGTTTTCCGTTGTAACGAACGCGAGGCGGTATTATTGCTGATAATTATTGTTTGGAGTGACGAGGAAGCTCGGCTGGTCAGTCAGTGGGTGAAGAATGACAGAAATAAGCCGGTCCTCGAGGGTATAAATCGATGGTCACTTGTAGCTCAAGGGATTATGTCATGACGCCGCGCCGCCACTGCCGCACCGGTCCAGGTTTGATGTGTGTGAGGTCAAATTAATGACCGACGAGGGTCCATCCCCACTGGTATGCTAGGGACAGAGCGCCGGGAGCCCTTTATTAGTGGCTATTAAGGTTTAAGTATAATTATGGACCATTTGGTTTGGCCAAAGTGATTGGTTTTTGAACACGTCAATCCAACTGGTGCGCAGTAGGCTTGTGTTTTTCATTTTATCGCTCACTAAGCTGTTCACACTCTCCCTACAAGAAGTCTGAAGTTGTTTTTCTGCGCTGACGTTGCGTTGGGCTTGTCACATGAAGAACCCTTCGTAGTCGTGTCGTGTGTGAGGGCTGCCTGACTGCTGCCAACCGTCATACCTACCTACATCTGACTGACGGCGGGTTCAAGTCAAGTGCGTTTCAACTCGTGTGCCAGTGCTCGCAATACGCAGTCCTTAGGTAGCCCGTCCGAGTCACCACAGATCAAAGCAAGACATTTGTAATTGCCACTTTGTGTGATGTTCAGTGTGCGATTCCAGTGTGGAAATGACTGACATTATGTGATCGCTGTTGCTATCTTAATGTTCGGAGTTGATATTTCTTAGTGGCAGTCACGTAGTGGACACGAATTGTCATAATAATGTGTCTTCGTAATAAAGTGTACATTTGAGCGTTTCGCCCTTGAAGGTGGAGCATCGGTTGGAAATGTGGCAATTAAACCGATCGCACGATGCCTTTCATATGCTTCCGGCGCGTTGTTGCTGAATTTTGGAAAGCTTTAAGGGTCCGTTCAAATATTATGTAACGAAAAAAAAGTGGATTTTTGAATACCCACGCAATATTTGATAACGGGATATTTTTTATTTTACAGATCAACTTAGTAAGAAGTGTATCGAAAAGTAGCTTCAAATATCTGTCACGTTGTTTTGCGTGTGTTTGATTGCGGAGGGTTCTCATTGTTTTTGTACAGATATAATACTTTTTATGTCGAAGGATAGCCCAACAAACAGTTTGAGCTGATTAAAGAGTGAATAAGCTATTTTTTAACTGAAGAAGCATATTTTGGCCTGAATAGGCTCTTATTCAGCTTGCAATGTTTGTTGGGAGTCGCATTTGTCTTCGTTTCTGTCGTTTTCTTAGTTTTATTTAATTTCGCATGACAGTCTTCGTCGTCACGAGCTTTGATCGGTGATACACCATCAATATGTTCCTAGTGGTCGTAGTGGTTTGTGGTGAAATGAGGGGCTCGGTGATCAAATGGCAATTGTTTCTGTTTACTGCTTTTGCTTAAGATCCTACACATTACAACAGAGTTGCGTGGGTTAAACGATAACAACAAAAACAACGAAAACAACAAAAACGACGAAGAAAATAGTTTGCATACACTTGGAAATTTCTATAATTTGCATATAAATTATATAAATGTAATGCATTATGAATACATGATTTATGTATGTATACATGATTTATGTATGGACTATGGCGGAATCTATTAATATTTAGTGTGTGCAGTGTAGAGGGATAGGAGTATGATTTTTACAGCATTTTTAAGCATTTTTTATGTACTTTCATATTTTAACAAATAACGCAATAGTAAAAATTCACCATATATTCTACATAAAAATTATGGATGCGCTTGTATGAAATTCATCTGCAGATTTGCTTATTTATTTATTTTTTCTGTATAGACGCTTTCAGCCATTGACTGGTTCGCTTCTAACACAGCATTGCTGAAGATCTCTTTTCCATCATATGTATGGACCAAAAGTTATTAATGATTCAAGGCACTGGTATTGATCATGCCTATTCGAAGCTGTGTGATTTCCTTTGTAAACAATCACGCATTGATGGATCCACTGGCTTCGGTGTCTTCAATGAATACTCAACCACCTTCCGGAAACTTTAGGAACCTTGTTCCATTTATGTTGCTGAGCTAGCAGCAATTAACTTCGCATTGGGGATAACCAGAGAGGCACTCATCTTACTTTTTTACCAAAAAATGGAACAGATGTGTGCGTGGGTCGAAAGATAACTTAGAATTACCTTTGTATGGGTCCCCTCACATTGCTTAATTCCAGGCAATGAGAAGGCGAACTCTCTTGCAAAGGTGGGCGTTCAAGAAGACGAGATTTTTGATAGAAGAATTTCACATGATGAATTTTTCCCATTAGTACGTCAGAGTACTTTTCTAAGTTGGCAAAACGATTGGACAAGTAATTCTTTTGGGTAGTGGTTACATTCTATTATTCAAAATGTTTCTTCGCGAGCAGGGTCAAAGGTCTGGATGATCAAGGCTTATGTCTAACCACAACTCGCTAGACGCACGTCTCTATAGAATAAACCTCGTGGACAGCAATATATGTTGGTGCAGTACCGGTTATGATGACATCGATCACGCAGTTTGGCATTGCCCTGGTAATGACGCCTCCAGAGTACGACTGTTGCATACCCTATGTTTGTCTGATGTTAGAGTTTGATGTGATCATCCCCTCCTTTCCAAACAATTTCCCGCTATTGTGTCCCAGTCTTACTATCCTCCTGTTTCTGTGCTACTTGCCCCTGCATAGCTAGTGAATTTTTTTTTTAACAAATTCACAGTTCCTAATGTTTTTTGAAAAAAAAACTGCGGAGCTCTTGGATCAGTTTCATTGATTGACCTCTTTTACGGATGTTTTGGACTTACCAGAGGATGGTCCCATGGCCATTTGGTTCCATGTTTTTGTCATGACCCCAAATTATTTCTTATATCGCAGTTCCACATGCTTTCGAAAAAACCGTAGAACTCTAGGATCAGTTTCATTGATTGACTATTTTAATAGATGTTCTAGATCTTGTGGAGGACGGTCCCATGACCTTCTAGGTACATGTTTATGTCACGACTGCAAATTAATTTATATATGACAGTTCCAAGTGTTTTCGAAAAAACCGTGGAGCTCTAGGGTCAGTTCCATACATTGACCACTCTTACGGATTTTCGGATCTTCCTCAGGACGGTCCGATGGCCATCTGGGTTCATGTTTATGTCACGATCCCAAATTCATTCTAATATCACAGTTCCTAACGTTTTCAAGAAAACCACGGAGCCTTAGGATCAGTTTCGTGAATTTTCCACTTTCACGGATGTTTCGGATCTTCCGGAGGACGGTCTCATGGCCATCAAGGTCCATGTTTATGTCACGATCCCAAATTCATTCTATCATCTCAGTTCTTAGTGTTCTGTAATGTCGGCCTAAATGCCCCTAATTTGCCCAATGGTATAGACTGTTCCAGAAAGTATAAGCACACTTTCAAAATAACAAAAAAGTCATGTTTTTTTTTAGTTTTAATAATTTTATTTGGCAAATCATACTTGTATTTGTATTTCAAATGATATTTTACTCTCGTTTATTCAACATATTTAATCATAGCCAAGACTCCTAACTTTTCCTCGAACATTTTTTTTTCCTTTGGTTTGTTTTTTCCGTCGATCTTGTTTTCCGTGCTGAGCACCACTGCTACCGACGTGCCAGGAAGGCACCCTCCCACACTTGGACCCTACCTATCGACCCATCAACTCATGAACCGGGGACCAACGGCTTTACTTCCCATCCGAAGGAAGGCGTGATCAGAGATGTTATGCCTCAGAACATCCCAGCGGCGCCGACTGGGATTAAACCCAGGCCTGCTGGGGTGAGAGGTAATCACGCTTACCACTACACCACCGGCACCGTTTCCTCAAACATGACCCATTAGCTTCTGCACAGTGGTACTTCCCACCATTTTGACCACTTTTGGCCAATCTTTTTTGAATTTTTGGATGTCGTGTGCTGGTTTTATTAATTTTCGAAGCTTTGCTTTGGTTAAAGCCCAAAAAGTCTCGATTAGCCGTGCCTCCGGGCAGTTCGGCAGATTCATGTCTTTCGGCACGAAACATACATTTTGACTTTTGTACCATTCTAAAGTGTCCTTTGCGTAATGACATGACGCCAAATCAGGCCAAAATACTACTTGACCTTCGTGCTGCCTGATCATCGGCAACAATCGCTTCTGGCGACATTCCTTAACGTATTTCTGAGTGTTCATCGTCTCCGTTGTGATGTACGGACTAGATGTTTTGACACACTCGCATATTGCCTGCCAAA